AACTCAATTCACAGCTAACTGGATACAACAGAGGCTGGTTGGGGCTGTGAGAAAGGAGCAGGGAAGTGGGAGCTATGTTGGTGATAAAACTGGGAGTCTTTAGACAAAGGGGCTTTCATGTCGGAAACCTGAAGGATGAGTGGGAGTTAGCAACAGGCCTCTCAGACTGAGGGGAGTCTGCGAGAGACCTGAGGAATGGGGGAGGCTTTTCATAAAGGGACGTACAGGGTTAAGGGGGAGAGAATCAGTTCTTCCTGGAACTGGGAGAAGGCGGTGGAACAACAGGGTAGGGAAGGGGCGGGAGCAGCTTTGGGTGAGAGGCATTTAGGTTCTATTTCCTTGCAGTGGGACTGCAGTAGGGCAATAGGGGGCGCTGTTGCCTTCAGCCCAGAGGGGATGATGTGGCTTGGAGTAGGGTGGAGAGCTATTTGCAAGGTAGAATGGAGCGACTTCGTGAAGTGGAAGGTACTGTAGAAGCAAGTGTTGTGAACAGTTCCTCCTGGGTTTCTGGCTTGAGTCTCTGGGCGGATATCGAAGAGAGCGGAGAAGAAATGGACTTAGGAAACGTCTAGAGCTGTTTTGGAGTTTGAGAAGCTTGTGAGTCATCTGAGCCCAGGGGTTTGAGCGCAGTTGAAACATTTGGACTGGAGATAGAAGCTCAAGGTCCCCAGCATGCAGGCGGAATTTACTGCCGCGGGAACGAAGAGGGCCCAGGGTCAACTCGTGGAGTGTCACCATGCTTAGGTCAGGGGAGGAGGGAGAGACTAGAAACAACTATGAAGTAGCTGAGGGAGCGATCGGAGGGTAATTGTGCGGCAGGAAGAGAAGCGAAAGTTTAGGGACGGTGTGGCTGGTGGAGCACAGTACTGTGGAGAGTGGGATGGAGGTGGTGACAGCCTCCTTCAGAGCTGCTGAGAAGACTCAGTGACACCAGACAATTAAAGCCCCCACCCAGTGTTAAGCACATGTGGCTGCTGCGTGTCATCGGATTGGTTCCAACTCATGGAGACTCTGTTTTTGAGGCTGTACATTTTTATGGAAACAGAAAGCCTCATCTTTCTCCTGTAGAGTGGCTGGTAGATTCGAACCTCTGACCTGGCAGTTCGCAGTCCAACAAATGTCACCTGTTGTTAAAAAATAAAGTCCAAACTCCTTGGGATGGCTGGGCTCCCAGCAGGAAACTAACAACAAAACATAGTCAGTTTTCACTCTTGGCAGCAGGGTAAGTTACAGAGTAGAATTGCTTCATAGAGTTCTAGGTTTTTTTCTCCCAAATTTGTTGTATTGTTGAGAATATATACAGCAGATCACACTCAATTCAAGTTTCTACATGTACAATTCAGTGACCTTGATTACATTCAAGCTGTGCACCCACTTTCACCCGCCTTTTCTGACTTGTTTCTCCCCTGTTTCCATAGTTTATTTTGTTTTGTTTATGACTTCATGGAAGCAGTTCACCAGGTCTTTCTTCCTCAAAACCACTGGATGGGTTCAAGTCACAGCAGATTGAAAACTGCGTGTGCCCAACACTCAAGGACCTTGCAGGAAACAGAAAAACAAAAGCAAACTAGTTGCCACCAAGTTGATTCTGACTCATAGTGACCCTATAGAAAATAGTAGAACTGCCCCCTCCCCCCCACACACACACACACACACACACACACACACACACACACACACACACGGAGTTTCCAAGGCTGTAAATCTTTATGGAAACAGACAGTCACATCTTTCTCCTTGACAGCAGCTGGTGGGTTTGAACCATCTTCAGTTAGCAGCTGAGTGCTTTGACCTTTACACCACCAGGGCTCCACAGGAAACAGTTGCAGTTGAGTGCTTTCAAGTTGGTTTCAGCTTATAACCAGCTGTATAGGATTTCCGAGGAGCGGCTGGTGAGTGTGAACCACTGACCTTGCAATTCAAACTGACCTTGTGGTCCACTGCTTATTCTACAGCACCACACCAGGACTCCAACCGGAAACCAAGGCATCCTAAATGGGGTAATTGAGAAGACTAGAAGGAAGGGAATGTTGATAAAGCCTTAAGGACTGGGGGAGTCCCCAGGCTAGCAACAAAAGAAAGACCCTTGGCACCTACAGGGACAAAAGGAGGAAGCCAGTACCTGAATGGAAAGAGCTAGAGCCAGAGCAGGGACTAGCTTTGGCCTCATCAGAGACACAGCCACTGGCCACCTGCAGACTGAGGGAAATAGTCCCCTGGTGTCTCCTCTTGCCCACAGGTATCTTGCCAAGTTTCCCATGGGCTAAACCCAAAATTCCTCAGGCAGAGATCAGCTTCAGGACACCAAACCAGGGGACAGGGTGCAGACAAACTGGGCTCATTGGGCAGATGCTTCTCTTTGGTCCTGCCAACCTTAGCTAGACTCCTCTCCTGTGGCCCCCACCCTCAGCCCCCTAACGTCCTGAGAATCTGTTCTCTCCCATCCATGCCTCCAAGTGTGTAAACTTCATGGTCATTCTGCCACCTAATAGGTCCCCCTGTCTGGTAAACGTCACCTAACTTAAAACCTAATTTCAACCATGCTCCGGGCTTCCCTTTGCTCATGGGGTTTACAGTAGCTTGTCCTCTGCCTGTAGACACGCTTCCTTTGGTTCCTCATGATTCTTCCTGCCAAGAGGTAAGTAAGTCTGCCTCCAGGAGGTCTTTTCTGACGACTTTCTCTCTGGATCTCACATCATCCTGTATATTTCCTCCCTGGTCCTCCTCACAGCCTGGAACATTCTTTACTTGCTCATTGTCTGTCTCACTGCCCTTCCAGAAAGGCACAATCTAGTCCCCAGATCCCAGATCCTGATGCACAGAGGATGCTTGTTGACTGAGCAAGGAGAGACATCAAGAGTCCACCACTTACCATACACTTTCCAATGTGATGCCATTTCAGCCTCCCAGATGACCCTGCAAAGGGGAAACTGAGGCTCCGACAGAAGAAGCAATTAGACTCAGGCCTTCTGGTGAGTAGGGTGGATGAGTGAACTAAAACCGACCTTCTGGGAGGATGAAGGGGTGGGGGGTTTCCTCCAAATATCTCAAAGATGAATGAGTGGGGCTTTGAGGGCAACCAGGGGCTTTTCTGGAATGGGACCCAAGCCCTGGGAATCTCTGTGTTCCTTAATTGTTAGGGAAAGTCTCCTCAGAGCCTTCTGCTGTGCTCCCTTTGTGCTGCAGAGTCCTGAGGTGCACAGCAGTCTGGGGACTCACAGTCCATCAATGGCAGAGGGAGGACTCGAATCCAGGTCCCTCATGTCCAAGGTCACACAGTTGGTCAATAGCAGAGTCAGGATTCGAACC